ATTTAGTATGAATTTATACATTACATACTCTGTAAATCTCAACATAGCGTCATTCTGACATACATCCACGCAGACTGAGACAGCGCACGACCACCAGAGCGCAGCCGTGGACAGTATCCTGTACTCGTCCGACTATTCGTATCCCATAACAGACCCCAAGAAGAAAGAGAATGCGATCATAGTCGTGTTGGTGCGGAATAGAGAAAAGGACCAACTGGTAGAGGTACTGAAGACGTTTGAAAACCGATTCAATGCCAAGTACAAGTACCCCTACATGATGCTGAATGACGAACCGTTCTCAGACGATTTTAAGGTGAAGTGTCTTGGCACCTATTTTCGTGTACACTATAACACGTGTGTGTAATGTGTGGTAAGGTTTGATATGTTTAGGTATTGTTGATGTGTGTTTGTATTAGTTCTCACCCGCCATGCGATGTACTCCTCAGCGGAACGTTTTGGATAGTGTGTGTTCGTCTTCTCGCACGCTCATCCCACAGTCACTCTGGAACAGTTTTAGCGGGCAATGCGTATGCCGTACTATCTGTAACTGATGCTTCCTATGTCACCGACTGTGGTATTATAAAGTCAATTTGCGTATATCCTTGACTGTGTGTTGACAACATAGTTATATCACTGACTACACACGTGTAAAGATAGCTCGAGTATGTCTCCGACTGTATTCAGGTAAGGCAACCGGCAGCTCCTTATTAACTTTGGGTAGTTTGTCAACCGGGAGACCGGTAAACCTATTTGGGGATGGATCTCCATAGTGGCCAAAATCCTTGACTGTGTGTTGACAACATAGTTATATCACTGACTACACTCGTGTAAAGATAGCTCGAGTATGTCTCCGACTGTATTCAGGTAAGGCAACCGGCAGCTCCTTGTTAACTTTGGGTAGTTTGTCAACCGGGAGACCGGTAAACCTATTTGGGGATGGATCTCCATAGTGACCATTTTGGTATTCAGCTCCACAGACTGACCTTGGCGTGTATTCCACTACCACTCGAACGCACTCTGAGTGCTACCACAAGTTCTACCTTTATTAAGCTGCTGCAAGGAAGACCTTACTGAAAGCCTTTACTTTTACAGCAAGCTAGATGTTTCATAGTACCTCTCTATATGCATCCTTGTAGGGTGATGTCTCACATACTGCTCGGACCTATACTCTGGCACCTCCCGATCAAACAGTACCAACGCACATGAACAGTTGGTACAGAGATCCTAATTAACGACACGCTTATATTGTTTTATATTATATACACACAGGCAGCCATGCAGAGTGTGATCTCACACGCTGATGTGACCTACACCCTGGTACCTCCCGAACTTTGGAACGCGCCGAGTTTCACAAACATGACTTACGCACGGGAGCAGATGAAGAAAATGGCTGAGGCAAAGGTTATGTACGGCGGCAGTGAGTCGTACCGGAAAATGTGTCGCTTCTATTCCGGGACCATCTTCCAGCTCAAAGAATTGCAGGTGTGTGTCTTACTGGCATACTACAGTGTGGAGATGTCCCGTTAGCTCATCCCAGGCGACGGCTCTGTCAGCAACCCACACCAGTACATTATATATTGCTCTCATTTCATGGGCCGTTTGTTTTTTCTTAGACATTTTCCATCCCCCCATGCGACATCTCTGTCAATAGTCCGCACCACAACACATCTGTACCCTACCCCCATCACAGCGTTTACACAGATTCTCAGCGTGCCTGCTGTAGGCATAAAGTAGGCACACATTGTAGCACGGAAAGTCATTACAAAGGTTGTTATAAGCGCTGCCTTGACGACTATCTCTAGCCTCAGAATGGCGTCGGCGGGAAGGCTCACTGCCACAGGGGCCATGAGGCGTTTGTCATATCGACCTACCGTGTGCAAAGGAATCATCTTCGTATTCTATCGTGTCACACCACCCTGTTTTAGGGTTTTAGGGTTCTAAGGGTTTAGGCGTGTAGGGTTAAGAGTTTAAAGGAGCTCATGTATATCTCTATACATGCCACAGAAATATGACTATCTCTGGCGCTTGGATAGCGCTGGTGTAAAGTTCCACTGCGACTTGGACTTCGATCCATTTGTCATGTTCAGAGAACAAGGGCTGTTGTATGGCTTCACCATCGGATTGCATGAGTACTCCAATACAATCCCCACCCTATGGGCTACGGTGATGGATTTCATGAATGAGCACAGCAATATCGTTCAAGGTAGGTATTATTTTTTGCGTTGAAAATAGGTCTACACATATTTATGGATACAATATATATATATATATACATACACACACACATATATATATACATATATATATTCATATATATATATATATATATATATTCATACATATATATATATATATATATATATTTATATATATACATATATGCAAACATACGCACACACGCA